CCACAGTCCCCTTGAAGGCAGCTGTATGTTTTTAATGACCCGTCCTTTCACTGCTTACGTAAGCATTGTCTATTATAAAAAAAGTTTAATAAAATAAAAAAACAAAGAAAATGAAAACTTATATTAAAATTTATATTTTTCTTTATTTAATTATATAGGAAGTAGTTAAAAAGGGTATAAATAGTCGTGCAGAAGATCCAGAGAAAAATTGCCTCGTCATTTGTTGCAAAAAAAGAGGATAAAGGTTCATGAAAAAATTAGTCAAACCGCGTACTTACTCGCCGCCTTGAACCAGTGCAGCCCAGCGATAGTTTAAACGGTAACGTTCCTTACCGCCCAAATGAAGCGGTAATTTCCATTTCAATGTACCAGTACATCCAGTAATACGGGTTAATAATAAATAACTAATTACAAATAAGCTTGATATATTTTTTGAAAATATAAAATACAAATCCATCTATATGTAGGGCTACGATTGTCTCGACTTTTCCGCTGAAGAACTTAAAGTTTTAATTAGTTTTGCGCTCTCCACTTAAAAAATCGGGACAATGGCAGCCATCTACATAATATAATCTTTTTAGTTTTGCTCGCTTTCATTAGTCCTGGCATTTAGTAAAATCACATAACTGAATTTATTAGATTCTTTTTAATAACAGCAAGCACCAGAGAAGGAAAGCCAAGTACAACTTGCCAATACCTAAATAAAAAACAAAAAAAAAGATCATCTTAAACTACAAATGTATTAATTTACATATTTTTAATTTTGTTTTAAAATAAGTAAGTTTATTAATAAAGGGGTCCATTATTTTACATATTTATTATTGTGTTCATGAACTAGTGACTCGTAAACATTTCTTAAAGATGGTCATTATCAATTATGGTGCCAAAAAACACATAAGAGCTTAGTAATAATAGAGTGTTCCAATAATAAACTTTCATTAAACAGAGAGAAGACAGACTGTCTTTCAAAGGAACTGTGTTAAAAAAAAAGTTACAAATTATTATAATCATAACTTTTTTTAATGACAAATATATATATATATATATATATATATATATATATATATATATATATATATATATATACACATATATATATATATATATAAATATATATATATATATGTGTGTGTGTGTATATATATATATATATATATATATATATATATATATATATATATATATATATATATATATATATATATATATGTATATATATATATATATATATATATGTGTGTGTGTGTATATATATATATGTGTATATATGTATATATATATGTATATATATATATATATATATATATATATATATATATATATATATATATATATATTAGCACAGAATAGCTATAGCACAATTAACCATAAAAAAAAGGCTTTTTAATGTTACCAGTAAACAAAATTATTTATACCTCAACAATTTAGAATTCCAATTTCTTCAAAACTGTTAAATAATGATTAACCCAGTAAATTTCATATCATATAAATTTACTAAATTAAAACCATGTTTCAACAATAAAGCAAACTAATAAAGCGATGACAACTAAAAAAAAAAAACATTTAATTTTAGAATAATTAAAATCAGTTATATAAAAAAATGTAATAAAAATTGATTCAAAAAAAATCTATTAACTAATATTAGAATTAAAATATATAACAAATCTGAAAAAAGTCTAATCAATAACAGTCGTAAAAATTGATAACAAAAAAGTTATTATAATAATCTTAAACTTATCAGTGGTGGTATTGTATAATATATTATCAGTGGTGGTATTGTATAGAATATCGTAGAAAAAAAGGCATCATATTCCATACTTCTCAGTTTATTTTGGTTATATCTAGAAAAGAAAGACACTCCTCTTCAATTTTAACTTATACATCAGCAGCATATTGCTAAAATAGTTGAACAGAAGTTTTGTCTTAATAAGGTATATAATTGTAAAACTGAGATAATTTAACATAATTTCTAACCAATGTTGCATGTTCAGGGTTGCGTATCAATAATGCTAATTCTTGGAAAAAAAAGTTGGATCTAAGTTAGCTGACATACTTGATGTAACTTCTAAATAACTTTTTGGGTAAATGACTTTCCTGGATGCAGGTGGAGCAACATTTCTTAAAGTAATACAACTATAATTTGCAAATAAAACTTTAAACTATGTAAGCAAAGTTGAACTATGTAAGCAAACTATGTAAGCAAACTATGTTATTGCCAAAATTTATTGCTGCAATTGGGTCAGAGATATATAGTTGATAATGTTGGGGGAATATTTTGATCTGGCCTAAGATTACCCACACAATAAAAAAATTGACAGCATATTTTAAAACATGTCGACCTATGATTCATAGGTTAAACAAAATTATCAGTAAATAAAGCAAAATAAAAAAAAGGCAATTCTGATATATTAAAAAAAATTGATATTGGAATTAAAATATATATAATTTCCTGTAAATAATTCAGAAACAGTGAAAATGGAAGCAAACTACACTTCCAATTATGCAACATAAAAAATATGATTTATCAAGAGATTTTTGAGCACAACAATGCTGACAGGTTCATTTCTCCTAAATATTTAAAATTTAAAAATTTCTAGTAAATATATATTCAGATACCTTAAAAAGAGGCATAACACAACATTCTTTTGACAACTTCCAGCAGAATTTTTTTTTTCTTTGTCTATTCCTTATTATTTTTTTTAAAATAAAATATACATCTAGTCCATAATTAGATACAAAGAAATATAAAATATAATGAAATATAGAAAAATTTATGTATATAAACTTACATGTCTACAAACAACAGTCCTATTTTATTTGACTTTTCATGTTGAATACATAAATAAAATTTCAACTTAAAATAAAACTTAATAGTGACCTGTGCAAATACAGTATTGAAATTACATAATATAATAATTACAAAGCATACACAGTTATGAAAAGTTGGTAAAAAACTCAAAGGTTCTGTATCCATAAAATAAAAAATGTGAAAAATCAATTCAAACTATTACACGATGGTAAAAAAAAAAACAATTTAGGCAAAATGATAGCATTACAAGACTTTTCATTTTTTCTATACAAAATCAAAAGAACAAAAGTTTTTATTTTTAAAAATAAATTTAAAAGTATTTTTAAATTTAATATTTAAATATTAAATTTAAAAATACTTTTAAATTTAAGCATTCTAAAGTTAGCTATAAAATTAAAGAACTTTTTCTTTGGTGCAGACCTAAAGAGAAACATCTTGTTTTTGTTAATTCCTTGATTGAAACTAAAAACTAGCGATTAAACTAAAACTTCATTTATTGTAGTAATACTTTTAATGGTCATATCTTCAGAATGTCAAAATAGTTTGTATAGGAAAATTTATTTGCTTTAATTCAAATGTTCTGAATTCTTTTTTGTGGCTTTTAGTAGACAGTAGACAAAACTACATATATAACTGCTTGAAAAACTAAAATAAATTCTTGTTTTGCTACACCCTAGCATATACATATACATATTAAAGTACAGTTCCACTCCTGAGAACAAACTAACATAAAAATAAATACTTACAAGGGGAGTATATAGAAGAAATAGATGACATCACTGTAAGTTGCAACTGCAACTGCTTATGCAACAACCAAATGAAAATATACTTTAAAAAGTACATCAAATCAAAATAAAAATGAAAAAAAATTACTGCACTTAAAACATTGCTAGTATTGAGTAACAACTTACTAAAGATTGAAGATAAACCAGATCCACAAAAAAAATATACCAATAGTGTCACTGCACTAAAACTATTTGGATAGTGCTCATTTTTAAATTGTATATAATATCTAAATACAAAGACTTTAACTAGCTCAGTAAATAAGTTTAAATAAACGAATATAGTAAGAAAAGGTGAACTACTATTTAAAAGTAACTAAAAAGTCATTACGTGAATTTTGCTTTAAAAAAATGGTAATTCACGACCCTTAAGTTAACGCTAGGTCCCATATCAAGGTGTTAACCAGGAATATATTCAAACCATGATTTTGCCAAATATTAGGAATTTATGATAAAATCATTATATTGTTTAAAAAAAAAAAAAAAAAGGTCATTGAATTTTGGTAAATTTAAACCAAATGGGAATTCTGAGGTGTACTTTTTGGCATTTTTTCCAATGCTGGTCATTGGGCTAGCTAACACCTTGCATAATTAGTGATTTATTTTTTCTACAAAAGTAAGTTAATGTGGATCTAAAAAGAACCAGAATAGAGTATAAAGTAAAATACACACTGTGTTTTTTATTTAAAAACTCAAAAACATTTCAATACAGTCACAAAATGTAAAAGAAAACAAAAAAAGCAAATGTATGCTAATGTATGACAAAAAGTCAATACACTCCCATTTTAACAAAATTTGCAACAGATTGTAAATATAACAAAAATATAATGTAAAAAATATAATACATCAGGATTAAGATTAAAAAATCAGGATTAAATTTTAAATCTTACATTAAATCTTAATTCATGATATTATCACAGAAGATATATAAAATATAAACTCAAACAATGCATCTTGAACATTTCCAAACTTTCTTTGATGACAAAACAGCATTTGGCACTGACTCACAAGACATGTGATACCACTCCATGCATTCGTTACACTGTACCATTTTTTCTGCACCATTTTCAGGTAAGCGACAAGCACAATATATAGAAAAAACAAATACACTTTTCCTAGACATATGCACAACTGCACTTTTTTCACAGCGCGGAAAGGGGGTAAAGTAGTTGCTTTGCAGACAATCATGCAAATGTTTTCTCATGGCATTCTGATCATATGATATGGTACTAACATCAACACACATGCATAGATCTAAAGCAAATGCAATGGCAAATAAGCCACAATCAATTGATCCAACTTGTTGTTGACAAGGTTGGTATTCACAACATATCTTATTTAGTGGACAGCATAGAAGTGATGAAATTTGCATTTTAATTTCCATAGTAGGTGTTTCTGATTTCATTGAGTCATATTTTTATATGTCCAGGGGAACAGTTCAAAGTGCTAACTAGCAACCAATGTAGGTTACCGTCATGCAAGATTTGAATCATTTCATGTGGCATTATATCGTATGTTAAAGTTTGTCCCAATAAAGTGTCCTGTAATCCCTGTATTGATGAAAACTGATTTTTAAAAATGACTTGTGCTGCATTTATATCAATGTCAGACAACATCTTACTACACAAAATCCTCTCATAGAGAACATCAGAAATGTTTGTCACATTGATTGTTTTTGCTTTTGCTTGCTTTCTTGATTTAGCTATTTGTTTTGATATAGAAGGTGGCAATGAAAAAGAGTTACATGGCTTTCTACCTCTTGGCCGTCCTTTCAATCTTATGACAGCTGGCACTCTTAAAGATCTTATTTCAGGTATTACATAGTTATTTTTATCTGATTGTTTAATAGATTCTGATGCACTTGCATTGTCTTGCAGACCACTGTTTATCAATTGCAAACCTGATGTTGTGTCTATATTGACATTTAGTATTTCTTTTGTGTTTTCAATTACTTTTTTCTGGTCATATTCATCATTAGAAGACGATAACTTTAAATCTGACAGAATACTATTAGTTGAAGGAATTGATGTAATTTCAATTATGTTGCCTGATTGCCACAGATTAAGCGAGTGTTTTACTTGTGATAACTTTTGTTCAAAGTCTGCTCCACCACAAGTTGCAAGGTAACAAGCTAAAGCCTCAGTTTCTGTGTGAGCAGTTCTATATCGTTCTTCTTCATACTTACAATTTTTTAATTGTTTTTTTTTTTGTGATTTGTGGTCAACATGTGATATGTCTAATGTTGAAAAATGATCTGATCTCGCAAAATCTTTTAAAACTTCAGTTTTTTTCCACCTTGATGGCAAAGTCATTTCTAGTTTATTGTCAAACAGTGACATGTTTCTAAAATCTCTTGCACAAAAAATATGCCAGCAAGGTAACGGAAAATTCATAAAAAATGAACAGGTGCAATCAGTGAAGTCATTGCTAATGATATACTGGCAACTGTCTTTGGTCAAAAGTATATCAATTTTATTGTGCAAAACCATTTCAACATTTTCCTTGGTTGAATACTTTAGAAACTGCGAGGAGACTAAATCTGTTGCAAAGTTTGTTAGTGACTGTCCAATTTCTTTAGGCATTCCAGATGTGGCAACTGTTCGAACACCTATCTCTCTGTATTGTTTATAGCCCTTGTCACTGGAAATGTTCAATGTGGTATCATTAAGTCTTTTAATGGCTTCAGACAAATGCATATTAGGTTTGATAATTTTTTTTAACTGTCGATTAAAGTTTTCAATTCTATTGTTAGTGTTGCTACCAAGTGTTAACTTATTTTTTTGGTAAGCTGTACACCATTGTTCCTTACATGAATGCCAATTGTTTAAAAAATATGTTTTAAAGGATTCAGGAAACTCATGATTATTCACTGTACTGTCATATGCTTCATGGTAATCAGCTTCTGAGTTTGCATATACCATTTTTAATATCAAATTCATCAGCTCACATTTAGTTGATGGAGGTACAGACAACTGTATGACAACTTTTTTGATGTACTTTATTACATGAAAACGACACAGCAACACTGATGAATGCAAGAATGTAGGACTCAAAACATTTATTAACCCAATATCTTTGTCCACAATAATAACTTTAGTTATGATGTTATTATTTTGTGTACAAAACCATTCCACAACCCATTTGAAGTTGTCTATAGTCTCATGCTGAACAAAAGCAAATAAAACTGGCACTCCAAATCCTAAACCATCTTCTACTAAAAAAACTAATAGTGGAAATCGTTCAATATTAACTTTGTAAGTAGTATCCACAAAAATTACTTCACCATATCTTTTATATTTCTCTTTCATCACACTAGTTTGCCAACATAAAGCTTGTAACTCATCATCCTTTAGAAGAATAGAAACTGAACCACCATCGTCTTTTTCTAAAAGTTTGTTAACAGCATCTACCAGCAACTGTCCTTCATTATTATTACTACGCTCAACTTTTTTATTCCTAGCTTTTAAGTTGTGTAAATCCTGACTAGTCACACATTTCATGTGCCCATCTAAATGCAATATTTGTTTTATCTGTAATGGGGTGACATTAGCATTTATTAATTTTATTATAAGTTTTTCCTCCTGCGTTGTCATCTTTCTATTCCTAGGATAGCAACAAAATAATTCTTCACTTGTTGGATGATTGTGGGCCTCTTCTAGTTAAGTCACCTTTAATTGAATTAATTTACTTTTTTTTTAATAAAAAATTTAGTTAAAATGTTTAACTCGTTAAAAAGACTAATTGCTAAGTTATCTAAAACCAAGAAATAGTTTCATCTAACTGTTCTAAACAATTAAATTACAAAATAAATATTAAACTTAAGTACTGTGTACCTCTAAAGCAAAACTGCCTGTTTTACTATCATAACATTTCAGCTGTAATCTAATTTTTATTGAACAGTCAATGGCAAGTTTTGTTTGATGCGGTCTACAAGTTGTCACTTTGCTTGGGCGTGGTTTCCCATAGTGTACACATGTAATAAGAAGATCATTATAAATAAACTTTTCAGCTTTGCTGTCATCAAGCTACAATTTAACATATGAAAGTTTTCCTTAAAAACTTAAAACTTAAAATGATCAAACGTCTATACATTTACTCATTAAAATATTGGTCATTTGAAATGTTTAACAAATATCAATATTAGTTTCAAAAAAATATTACCTAAAAATACTAACTAAATATTACCTTAAGCTTGTGACTACTTCTGTAGTGTATGGGATGACTATTTTCTTCACAGTACTCTTGTAACTTTAATTCAAAATCAGCAAATGAATCAAAGCGGTCAAATTTTTTTTTTTTCTAGAATAGTATAACAAATTATATAAATTAAAACATTACACAGAAAAATTTTGCACATGAAAAAGTGTAAGTGATCCAAATTTTTGTTGACAAGGTTGGTTCAAAACATAACTTATTTATATGACAACATAGCAGTGGTGCAACTTTCATTTTAGTTTAGTGAACTTTTTGATAACAGCTTTTATTGTAACTCCTGATCAAACAATGTGCAAAAAATTTCCAAGATATTTTTTTTTTTTGTAGTATATACTACATTTTGCCATTTTTATAAATAAGTTACAAAAGAGTTTCATGTTTTAAAATATCAATAAATAAAACAAATTAAAAAACAGAACTGGACTCAAAGAACATATGAGTGATGTAATACTACCTCAATCTTTTCACAGAGACACATGTTTTAAGTATTATTAACCCCTTCCCTGTAAAATTTTTATTTTTCAACATTTAAAAAAAATTTGTTTTTGTGTATATCTATTTTGATAATAATTTTGTCAAAAATAAACAGAGACCCCTATTTGCAATATTGTAATACTTTTACAATACATAAAAAATTAAAACTGATAAATTTTACTCTTATTACTGTAACTTTATGATATAATATTTAATTATATTATTATTTATAATTTTATTTCTTTATAAATACCTTTGTTACTCAAGCCAAAAAAAAAAAAAATAATAAACCTTTTTTTTTAACGAGATGAAGGAAGCAAATTCTGAAAAACTGACTTTATAGGGAAAAAACTGGACAAATAAGAATTTTTTAAATTCTAAAGCACGTACGAATGGTCACAGTAAAAGGATGAGACTTAATAGAATGACGAGAAACAAGACTTGTGGATGAATAGAAAAATGCTACAGTTAGTTTCATTTAAGCATATTTTAGCAATTTTATGATTTTTTCTAAAGTTGATGAGGTTATATCTTTTCTCTTATTACAAGTTAATAAAAACCACTTTTTAAAGGAAAATAACTATCTAGAAAAAAGTTCTTAAAAAAATGAGACACTTGTTGAAAATTAGAAAAAAGTTATACAGTTCTAAAGTAGTCTGTTTTGACCATTTGTAAATCATGGGTTACTGTGTCATTTTCTGACAAAAAGAGTTGTACTTGGAAGTCTGAAATTTCAAATTTAACCTATCTACATAATCAGGCTTGGTCGGGAAGCGGGAGTGATCGCTCTTGAATACTGACCAAAATGGCCAGGTTTTTTAATCATTTTGAGAACATTTAAGTTTATGTATGTAACAAAAAAATTTTGTTTTACAGACATACATGGAAACATACATAAACTTGAATGTTCTCAAAATATCTTGGTGCAGAAGAATAAAAAGAATATTCGCCAACACAAAAAACCGACCGATTCTAGAAACAAACTAATTCAAATTGGTAAAAAGAAATAGAGCTTTAACAACTGAATTGTACTAAGATAATCAAAATTGTATTAATATTTTTTATAAAAAAAGTATGTATTTTTTATGTAGATGTAATTTTGTGTATCTGTTTTTTATCCTAATGTAATCTTTTAAAGCAATTTTTATGATTTACTTTGTAAATATAGACTTTCAACAATAATTTCATTTTCAATGAAGTTATTAATAATCATCCAAGTTAATAAAACTAATTATGAAATAAACATATAAGAAGTTTCTGTTTACTAAACACAAACATGCATACAAAGTAACTCACGGATGAAAAAGCAACACGCCTGAGATCACGGCAGTACACAATTATATATAGCAAGTTATTAGATATAAAGAAGAGTTTTAGGTTATTGGTTTACTAACTCTAATTATTGTAGCTTCAGTTGCCATTCTTAAAAACTCGTTATACTTTTTTCTGCTTTAAATACTAATTAAAATTAAAAAGCCTACTCACTAAACATCATCAGTGATATTGGGAAGCAGTTTCGCTTCCTCGTCACAAGGTATTTTTAACCTTTTTAGTTGATGTCTATCTAGTTAATTTAAATTCTATAGTAATTCAATGATTTAATTATTTCATTTGTTTATCTTACTAAGAATAATAGTTTCAAACATGTTAAACTTTACAAACTACCCGAAGCATAAAACAATTATTAAACAAATTAATTTTTTTATTTATAAAATAATTTAGCTTAAATAAAACTTAAACTTGCATTAGTTTTATTAGAATCTTGTTAGACTTTACGGGGCCAGTGGCTATTTTTAGTTTGGAGGCCTTTTTATGTGTCACAGCGTAAAAATGACTTAAAAGTCTTTATGACTATTTTGGGGCCCCTAACATTGCAAGGCCCGGGGATATAGCCTTTTCTAACCCTAACCCTCCTTAATCTTTGCAATTCTTTACCACAGCGATAGATGTCAACAGCTGCAGAAAACATAATATTATGAAGGTCACATTTTAGAAAAATTTGGGTAAACTGTAATATTACGGTCATCACAGGAAAGGGGTTAGTTCTACTATATACCCCATTATTTATTTTTATGAGTTTGCTGAGATGGATGCAGAGAGGGTACTTTTTAAAGCTTTATTTATATTTAACATCTTTGGATCCTTCTTTGTTTTTCAGACAAGTTTCCTTAATGACATTTTGTTATTTAAATTACATTAGAGACAAAAGGAAAAGTTAAATAAATTATCTACAATTGAATGCTTATATACAACTAGATACTAATGCCTTCCAGACATTAACCTGTTTTGTAGAACAGAACATGTTTTGCAGTTCAAATGGTGTGTAATAATGTAGCTGTTTGTTGACATTTCCAATAACATAATTGAATCGAGTTATTGAAATTTTCACTTGCTTATTGAATTGAATCATTTGAATTGCAGGATTTTAATCCAAGAAGCAATTCTTAAAATATCTACAGTATATTTTGAAAAAAGTTTTTTAAATTGATAAAGGAATGTATATTCGTAAAGCAATAAATTATTTTTCTTTATATTTTACTGGATTTCATTGGTGATTTAATCTTTTTAATATTTTTTACTCATGAAGACAACAACACTCCTTCAACTATATTATTTTCTATCAGTACAAAAACTAAATAGTCATAGCAACTTGTTAATAAACTTGAACACCAATACTGCAACTAACATTGCAAACTAACTGCAATCAACATTGCAAATCAACCAGAATTAATACATAAGCAGTTCAAATAACTGAACATCTTACTATACAGTTATTTAATTAAAGTCTACAAAGCTGTCTGCTATCTGTTTAATGTTTCAAGAAAATAAATCTAATTAACTAGAAGTAAAAAAAACGACCTGGTTATTTAATAACTATTAAATTCTCCAAATAGTTAATATAATATTGACTATCATATTAATATAATATATCATATTATTATCAGCTATTTAATACCTAATAAATCATGTATTAATTATTTTGTTGGAATTTTCAATAGAAAGCACACTAATACATTTGGTTTAACCTATATATTTAATGAATTTATTAAGTTGTGAAAAAGATGTGAGAAACTTTTTCAACACAATTAAAAAAATTTTACAAATTTAGTTTCTTTTAGAATGTTATTAAACAAGATAAAAAAAATTTACTATATATGTTAATATTTTTATATATATATATACATACATATATATATATATATATATATATATATATATATATATATATATATATATATATATATATATATATATATATATATATATATATATATAATATATATATATAATATATATAATATATAGTATATATAAATATATATATATAAATAATATATAATATATATAAATATGCATATGTGTACGTGTCTGTGTGTTTGTGTGTGTATGTGTATGTCTATGTGTGTGTGTGTGTGCGTGTGTGTGTGTGAAAATATATTTAACTCTTCTAAATGTGTGTATAAAGATGCTCTTAGAAAAGCGGATTTTGAGCTAGAATTTGAAACAAAAATTGCAAAAATGTGAAATAGAAATATAATTTAGATTAACCCTCAGCAAAAAGTTTTGAAAAATAATAGACAATAAGTATTTTTTAAAAACCTCCTATCCTATCTAAACTCAAAGAAAGCAAAAAAATTACTATGGTAATTATTTTACTGAAAACATAAAAAATATCAAGGAATCAAAAAGATTGTTAACATTAAAAGTAACTCTCAAACAATTCCAAATCTAATCATACAAAACAATATAACAAACCCCTTTGATATTTGTAATGCTTTCAACAACTACTTTACTAACATTGGTAAAAATGTCCAGGCAACAATTCCTTCATCCATGAATTAATTCACATATTACTTATCAAATCCTTCTCAAAAAAGTTTCTTTATAAAACCAACTGACAAACATAAAATTTCAAAAATGATCGAATCTTTAGATATAAATAAAGCTTCTTGACTAAACGGTCTGCTAGTTAAAATTAAGAAACTATTAAAAACGGACCTTTCAAGAATTCTTTTTAACATTTTCGATATCTCTTTCTTAAGTGGTATTTTTCCAGAAAACTAGAAACTGCCAAAGTTGTACCTATTTTTAAACTGATATAAAACTATATATTATTAAAACTATAGGCCAATTTCCTACAATGTATAACTATAAGTCAAATTCTTCAATGACAATAAAGTGTTTTTTGAATTACAATTTTTAATCCAAAGAATCTTTAATAAAAATTAAAGATTCTTTGGATGAAGGAATGTTGGGATGTGGTATTTTTATTGACTTTTAAAAGGCATTTGACCATGTAGATGTCAACATTCTACTTAATAACTACTCTACTATGGCATTAGAGAAGTTTTAAACTCCAGATTCAAATTTTCATTTCTAATAGAACTTAATTAGTATCTAATAGTGGTGTGAGCTCAAGCCTGAACAATATAAAAGTAGGTGTTCCTAAGGGATCTGTCCTTGGCCCTTTGCTGTTTCTTATTTATATAAATAAAAGTTCTAAAGCTAAATTTCCCTTAACACCAAAAAATTGATTTAACATTATTTAAAATTCATCACAAAAAATAAGACCAACAGCTCAAAATTAAGTTAAAT